TTCCAGCTGCTCCACTTCCGATCCAGCTCTCTGCTATGGCCTGGGAAAGCAGCAGAAGATGGCCCAAGTTCCTGTCTTTAGTTGAGCCCAGCTCTGGCCATTATGGCTATTTGGAGAGTGAACCAGCGGATGGAAGACCTTTCTCTCTCTCTGCCTCTGCCTCAGCCTCTCTGTAACTCTGCCTTTCAAATAAATAAAATAAATCTTAAAAAAAAAGAGTCAAATGCACTTTGTACTATATGGTGAAATTAACAAGAGCACAAGGACGAAGAGAAGCCTGGGAAACCCTTCCCCAGCTGAACACATCCATACAGCACAGAGGACACAGACTACAGAAATGTTTGACTCCAAGGAGAAAACACATCCAAGAAACAGCAGAAAGCAACAAGCATTACTAAGGACTAACCTTCAGTTAGTCCTCAGGAGACAACTTTGTGATCAAGCCAGAAATGATCTTTTGTTCTGCAAACCTCAAGAAAGAATCAAGAATAAGAACCTTGGTCTATATGCTAGCAATGTAACGCAAAGTCATCTAGCCTTCATTTTAGAAGCTAAAAACTGGCAATGTTTAACAAGTACTATTTCTAGGATTGCTAAGAGTCTGAACGGATCACTTAAATTTTTCAATTAAATTTGACGGTATTTTATGGAAGTAGTTAAATCCTAGATTCACAAAAAGTTTCAGGAAATAACATTTGCAAATATTAACAGCCTGCTGAACAGTTTTCCAAAGTCTTTATTTCTAATTACTTATATGTAGGATGAATAAATAATTTAAAAGCAACTTCATTCAAAGCAATGCAGTTTTAAAGATGGTTTTCTGATTACATCAAAATATATTTTTGTTTACTAGAATAAAAATTTTTATATGCTACTTCAGAAGTACCTAGAATGTAAGAATCCTACTATTAAAACTATTAGCCCCATTATGGAAACGATCTTTCTGCTAGTAGGATAATTTACAGTGGAAAATTAGTTCCAATTTTGTATAATAATTAATGTTACTTACAATAAAGACTATGGTGCTATTATTCAAATATTTTTAAGTGTTCATTAACAGTTATTCTAATTTTTAAATGTAGGTCTCTTCATTATCAATTACATAAAATTAGTGGAGTAATCTTTTCTTCTATAGCATTACAAGAAGAAAAACTGGCCAGGCATTCATTTCAGGAAAATAGGGAAGTACCATGGGCCTTAACTATAGAACTGCAAGGCATGTTACTAATAATAGATCTACCCTTTTTACTGACTCACTTTCTTCAATAAATCAGAGTAGATTCAAGTTTGTACCAATAGTGATATCAGAGTCAAGCACAGGCATTCTGGTATGCTTGCTTGAGTGGAAGAGGAAGAGACGGAATTCTAGCTGGCATGCTAGAAAATTTCACACTGGAATATGTCACACATGTAAAGATCTTGCACTTGGGTGGGAAATTAATAAAAACTGACTGAAATCACACAATCGTGCTTTACAGCTGGAAGAGACAGAAGGACTATCTAGTTCAACTCCTAACTCCATTCAGTTCAGTGCTTCCCTTCACAGCACCCAGTGACTAATAGGCTGCTGGGTGCATTTAAACTGAGGGTTTTTTGAGTTTTGTTTTTTTTTTTTTTTTAATGAATTAGAACCCTATTGTTACAGAACACATGATTAAATATGGATCTCTGTAAAATAATGCTTCCTTAAAAATAATCCTATAAATTTATCAGTAGGAAGTAGAAAATATATACCAAACACCCAGAGACTTCAAAAAGCTTATGGAAATGTGAACTTAAAAGATGTTTATTTTGGTGCAAAGAAATTAGAAACCCATGTATAGTCTCTCACAACATGCATTTTCCATGAATTCTGAAAAGATTCCTTCATAAAACTAACAGTATCATCAAATCAGAAGATTAAGTTTTAAACAGATTAAGTAAATATGACTCAAGAAATTTAAGAAAGTTACATTTGGCTTTTTTGTATCAATTTAAGCAAACACTTGTGGTTTAAATGAAAAGAATTTCAGGCAACCATCTAACAACTGATGGTGCTCTAAGGTGAAGAAAATTAAATCAAGAATCTAGACAAGTGAAATATTTGGAGAGTTAAAACTCATTCAAAGTAAATTCCTGACTATCCTTATTAGATAAAGTAATCTAAGAAATATAATAGTTAACCTATTTCTAACTATTTTAGTTTATACAAATGCAAATGTCATTCAATTTAAGTAACTTACATGCGCATCATTTTAATGTCCTTTATCTGAAATCTAAGGACTATATTTAGATGACAAATAAACATAATAATACCAGGAGAGGTAAGATTATAGTATATATAAAATTATAGCATGTAAGAAACCAAATATGGAAGTTAACTACTTCCTATATTCAAGCATCTTATCTTCATTATCTCATTTCTTCCACATAATAACTTTATGAGGCAATTTCATCACTATCATTTAGTAAATGAGGAAACTATGATCTAAAGACATTATGGGGGCCAGCACTGCGGCACAGGGGGTAAAACCACTACCTGCAGTGCCAGCACCCCATATGGGTGCTGGTTCAAGTCCCAGCTGCTCCACTTCTTATCCAACTCTCTGCTATGGCCTGGGAACACAGTACAAGATGGCTCAAGTCTTTGGACCCCTGCACCCATGTGGGAGACCAGGGAGAGGCTCCTGGCTCCTGGCTTCAGATCAGCTCAGCTCTGGCTGTTGCAGCCATCTAGGGAGGGAGCCAGTGGATGGAAGACCTCTTTCTCTCTCTCTCTCTGCCTCTGCCTCTCTGTAACTCTGCCTTTCAAATAAATAAATAAATATTTTAAATAAATTTATAGAAATTAAAAATAGACATTATATAATTGTCCAAGAACCTGCAGAAGAGTAACTTTTACTTAAACCCAGTTTACGACTTCAAAATAAATGGCTCTTGTTTTCATTCTACTTTGCAACCTGGAAAGGAACACCTACATTAAAATTACCAGTCTTTTAATTAATACATGCTGAAGAAAAAGACAATATCTAGCTTAGAGAGAATGCCGAAAGTAGTCATGTTTTATAATTATTAGCTACTAGTTAAGAAATAATTCCAAGTCATGCATGATACTAATTTTTAAGAGCTGAATTGTAGAATACCCCCAAAATGGAGAAATCTGAAAAGCTTTTTAACAGGCAATAAGTTAACTTTATCTTGCTTGGAATTCCAAAAGAAAAACTTGGGAGACCTCAGATTTTGTTAGCCACACAGCAATTTCATATGCTAAACTAGGATTATGTTTATACTTATGTAATAAGATGAAGTAGCTGCTTGAGTCTGATCTCTTTGTTCTAACTCTAATGTGTCCTCTATTCTTTTCCATTTTTCCCTCAGATCTGGGAGTCCAATTGTAATTTAGAATCATTGATCCCCAAATGCAGAAATTCCTACATCTTTAGATGCAAATACAGATATACTGAAATGAAGACCATCAGATTGAAATGACTGGTAGAGTGTTACAGAAGAAATAGAAGTTTGAGTTCTTTTCCAAAACACTAATTATAGTGGAATTATTGGTGACTCTTCCTCTCCACAGTTTCGTCAAAGCATTTAACTTTTATAACCAGATAAAAGTAGGAAAGGAAAGGTGAAAGGAAAGGAATGGGGGAAAAACTGGAGCTTTAGTCTGTTTCTGAATTAGCTGAATCCTACCATTAAAGTTCCAAAACTAGGGCCTGCCTGTTCCTTCTCAACTCTTGGTAGCACAGCAAATAAGCCATATATAAACATGACAGAGACAAATGAAATATGGAAAAATAATACTGAGGCAATCTACAGATCTATAAATTCTGAGACACAGCTCTTAATTTTCATATTTAAGAGATTAGTATATAAATGAACTAAGTATAAAAACAGATTGAGATTATGCCAAAACAGAAAAGCATGTGAACAGTTTGAATTTCCTAAGTATGGAAAAATTACATATATTAGATATTTGTATGTATTTGAATGTATACTCATTTCTACTTACTCCTTTACTATAAACTGAAGATCAGTGTTAAAATATTCCATTATCAATACCATGAGACAATACCCAAGATAGTTTGTGTTTTATCAAAACACTGACTTGAAACTCTCAAATTACTTCAGTCTCCATGAAGTAGTTCTACTAAAAAATTCCACATTTGCTAGCTATTGTCCATTACAAAAATATTAATGCAAAAAACATACATGATTGATCTAATTTATTTATATTACCATAACAATGCAAAATTAATATTCTCTTGGGTCTCCTTCCAAAAGGAAATGCTTATTTATAAATCAAGTATAAAACTATACTAACACAGGAGCCCAATTTTAAAACAAAACTTTTATTTATGTAGCAAATTCATTAGATTTCCTTTTTTCTTTTTACCAAAATACAATCTAATTCTGGGATTGATTACAAAGATGACTCCAGCTCACTCACAAAACTGCTTTGAATTTTGTCATGTAATTAAACTACTATAGCTTTTATAAGCCTTACTCCCACTTACAAACAGAAATAAGCACCTTACAATATTCTGGTATTATATTTGTATACGTTTATGTATATGTTTATGGTAGGATTCAGCTAATTCAGAAACAGACTAAAGCTCCAGTTTTTCCCCCATTCCTTTCCTTTCACCTTTCCTTTCCTACTTTTATCTGGTTATAAAAGTTAAATGCTTTGACGAAACTGTGGAGAGGAAGAGTCACCAATAATTCCACTATAATTAGTGTTTTGGAAAAGAACTCAAACTTCAGCATTTCAGTTCCTGTATTCTTGAAGAGTCACTATGTAACAGCTGTCTTGACAATGTTACTGCTACACAGGTGATGGGTTCAACTCAATTGTTCTAGGAGACTGGAATGTGCCATAGTAAAATACTGGAGAAAAAAGTTGTCAAATGTGAAATATTCACAGCCCAGTTACAGCTATGTAACAAGTATATACCACTTAAAGATGAAACTTGTCTACCAACAGTCTGTTTCTCTTTGGAACTAATGACATCTACCTTGAAGTGGTGCAGAAGCTGCCTTAACTGGAAGCTGACAATTTGAGATGGTGTCTATTTAATGTTGCCAACCATCAGGGCAGAAGAGCAGCAGATCTTCGCCAAGGGTCTCTGATGGAGAACAGAGAAAGGGTTTCCAAGTACATGCCTATGCACTCTCTTAATATATTCCTAACTCCTTGGAAGCACAGCTCCCTTGGATCCAGAGTACCGGTAGAAAAGCTGCCCTGATTACAAGATACCTTCCCATGCGTTCACTGGAAAACCGTGGCTCTTCCCCAGTACGTCTTTCTGAAGACCACTGAGGTAGACCCAGATATAAGAACACTGCAATCATATTTGGCATTTTTTAAATCATTAAAATAGTTCGGTCTACCCTCTTACGGATTTTCCTATTACACTTTCATACATAATAACTTCACTTGAGAAATGTATCTCTTAAAATAGCTGGAGAAAGGGGAAAACGACAGCAACTGTACACCTTTACGGTGATTTATGTCAAACTCATAGACCCCATGAATACGTGCAGCTTCTTCTGAATTAACTTGGTTCACCCTAAAGGCTACCAGCCTTATCAAGTTCTTACAGTGTGTACCGTACTGAGACTGCTTAGCAAAATCATGAATGTACACAGTGAAAGCGCGGAGCGCCTCACGGACACTCCTTCATCTGTGCAAGTCCCGGGCCCCTCCGAACACCTCCCGAGCCCGAGACCACAGAACAGGAGCGACCCCGAAGCACACGCCTCACACACCTGAGCCGCCCGAGTCGGGGCTCGGGCACCTCTGGTCCGGGTGGGAGGAACCAGGGAGGTGCGGGGCCGAAGCGGGACGAGGAAGACTGGTCGCGTCGCGGGCGAGTGCGGGGTCCCAGATTTAGGACGGGCTCGGGCACACCCGGGAATTGGGAAGGAGGGTGGCCGGCCCGGCGGGAGGGCGGCGCCGGCCGGAGGAGCGCGCCGACGGGAGGGCGGCGCCCGCAGCCCCCACACCCGCAGCCCCCGGCCCCGCGACGGGGCGGGGCCACTGCGCCCGCCACCGCCGGTTCGCGCGGCACCCGCCCCCTCAGCCTCCGGGTCCCGGGGTGGTGGGAGGGGCCGGCCTCGCGGGGCCCGCAGCGCGCCCAGCCCAAGGCCCAGCCGGGAATGTCCCGCCGTGGGCAGGAGGATGGGCGGGTGACCCCCTCAGCCCGGGGCGGGGAGGCGGCCGGCTGCGGGAGGAGGAAGAGCCCTCGGCGCAGCGCCGCCACCGGGGCCGAATCCCGGCACCCCGCTGCGGCAGGGGTGGTGGCCCCCGATCTAGGCTCGCCGTCCCTCTTCTTCCCCCCTCCCTCGGCGTTGCCCCGGGCAACAGCGCCTACCGCCGGCGGCGCGAAACGCACCTACCTAGAACCTGACAAGCAGGAGCCCCTCAGACACGGGAGCCAGTCGCCACCCCGCGTCACGGGGGCCGCCACAGCCAATAGGCTCAGCTGTCACGAACCGCTGCAGCCAATCCCGCTGCACTCCGGTCTCCGGGCACCCTCGAGGCCTTACCCAATGGACGAGAGCGGAAGGCGGGTGCTGCCGCCCGGCCCTCAGCCCCCTCCTCCACTACCTCCCAGGAGGCGGGGCGCGGCCGATTGGACCCGGACCCGGAGGGGGCGGGGCTCGGACTCGAGGCCGGGTGGGCGCGCGCGGCCAGGGGGCTGCGGGCGCGGCGGGTGGAGGCGCGGGCTGAGGCCGCCGCCCTCTGGCCCGGGCGTGGTTCCGAGGTTTGTCCTGTGATGCGGCTCTCTCAGCCTCAGTAGCCCGGTCCTCGTCGTGCTATCCAGAGCTGCCACGGTGCGATGGGGCCGGAGGCGGGCGGCGGCGTCACAGGAAACTTTGGGAGACTCGACGGGCCGTGACCGGGAAGTGGCCGTGGGTGATAAGCAGGGGCCGCCTGGAAGGGACTGCCCGCGGGTCGGCCGCCGGAAAGGAATTCGCAGTGGGGGCGGAGGCGTGGTGGAAACGCCAAGTGTGCCCGCGGGCGCCGGGCAAGCACCAGAGCCGCCGTCTCGGTGGGCGAACCCCTACTCCTGAATAGGCACACTCCGTCCCTCGCGATCACCTTTCTCCCACGTGTGTCCCACATCCTACGTGTAACGTCGATTCCTTTAGGCTACCCCCGAGGGCAGGTACAGTGTTTCCGGCGCCCGCAGCGGCTGAGGCTGCTGCTGGCCCTGAGGTGGGTGCCGGCTCAGGTCCGGGGAGCGCCCCTGCGGGAAGCCGTGACCTCCCCGAGACCGGATGGCGAAGGGAACCCTAACTGAGTTGCGTTTCCCCCCGGGGGCAGGAGGAGCGGTCGCTAAAGCGTCCCTCGTCGGAAGCACCTGGTGGGAAATGAGTGACGTGAACTAAGCCCAAGACTGCCCGGCGACCTGTAGCGGTGTGACTGTGACGGACGTCACCCACCCGGCCCTGTTGGAGGGCGTGACCCTCCCGTACTCCTGCAGCAGGCTTTTTAAGGCGTTGCATCTTGTGCGTTGGTTGAACCACATTCTTTGCCTGGAGCAAATCTCTAGTCAACCCGATATCCACCCTCTCCCTCAAAAACGTCTGAGTTATGAGGGAGCCAAGGCAGGGTGGTGAGTATTTTTTCTAAACAGGGTTATTTATTTGACCACAGTGAACCAGCCCTACACGTAGAAAAACATAAGTTTTAAGTTGGACTGCTTTTATCTGCAGTTTCAAAAGCCAAAGAAACCAAACTGTGCTGTAAGGACAAATAAAAATAAGAGGCTTAATTGTCTCCCTTGAACATGGAAGGGTGAGGTTTCCCTCCCCTTCGTTTTCTCTAAGCCTTTGCCTTAGAAAGCTTGTGATTGTTAAGTGTTTTCTCATCTCTGTGAAATGTACACAAGTCCTTAAGATGACTGAATGGGTCCTTTGTCATCTTCGGGACAGGGGATGTGTTTCTGGGAACCTGGGAGCTGCACACCTCGGGGGAGATAGGCCCCTCGCCCCCAGCTTCTGTCGGGGAATAGGAGCCCTAACTTTGGTGGGGATCTTACCCCCAGGTGCAAAACTGCCTCCTGTCAGAACTCAGGTGAGCACCCCCGCCACCAAGAGAAGATGAATGTTCTACAGCAAATGGCGTTGTCAAGTTCTCTGACTTCCTTGAGGACTAGGGCTTGTTTATCTTGAAAACATGTATGTAATGGATTCCATCTGCTCGCAGTACAAAAGGACAAGACTTCTGTCTCTGCAATCATAGTGATGCGATGCACATCATCTAGTTTAATGCTTGTTTGACAACAAATTGTTTTCTTTTGCTACTTATGCGGAGGAGTCCTGAGCTGGGAGATTTTGTTTTTCATTTTACTTTCCCAAAAATGCCTATGTCAAGGATATTAAGATGATGAAGTTAAGGAAAGTAATTTTTAGTTTTTAATGTGCTCTCCAAAATGATTTCACATGAGGTAATACCTTATCGCTGAATTACAAATAAATGTTAATGGAATTAGAAGTGATAAAATTAAGGTTCGATCTGTATTTTGTAATTAAAATACACAACCTAAGCCTATGTGAGTTAACATCTTAAAATAGAAATTAATTTTCTGGGAACATTCTGTGTCTATGAATGAATAAATGCAGCACTGTGTATTAAATGGTCAGATACAACTTCAGAGAGTGCTTCACCAAGGCATACCTTGCCCAAGAACCTTAGGATTTCCCTATTTTACAATGGAAATCAAGATCTAAAATGATGTGATTGGTGAGCTAGATAGTACATATTTTCAGAAAGTAGCTTTAAATAAAGATATGATAAAATAGATTATGTGTGTGCGCTTAATTATTCTCTCAGTTCTCACCTGTTCACTCAAGAAACTTCAAGTTAATGCAATTAAATATTAATGTCAGGCATTATGCGAAGAACAGTTTTGAATAAATGTACTGGAAGTAAATGAATGTGGCAAAAACGTGTGCTGTGTGGTTTAAACTGAGGGGGAAAGTTATAGCAAATCCAATTTAAAAATTTTCCCTCTGTTATACAGCCACTTTCCATCGCAAAATAATTAAAATTTTTTTCACCTGATTTCAAAAATACAACTTCTCTTACACCTTGTAAATGTAGGGAGAATAGGAAAGAATTTAGGAAAATAGTTTCCTCTGTAGATGATCCATGGGTTTCATAAAATACTTCCCACCCCACAGGGCTTGGAGAGAAAGCATCTCATTTGAAGTTGTTAGAATAGGATTTAACAGATCTGTCGGCTATCGTTAGAAGTTAGATCTGTCTAAGGAACTACAATGACTTTTGAAAGCCAGAGTACTACCTTGCTGTAGACAAAGCCTAGTATATATACCATTTTCCCAAATAGCCAAACGTAGTCTGTTCTAATTACGTTGCTTACCTGGACAAATAAATGCAATATTGTGGTCCTCAACCTAAATGATTAGTGAAAGGCTGCTTTAAAAGTTCTTTCCCTTTTTTGGCTAGTAGCACCCATCCCTCAAGCTCTTCCCCTCCCTTATTTTTCTTTTTAAAAGTTTCTCATAGGCTTCCAGAGGAATGCTGGCTGTGTGCCACCTTAGCTCAGTAGCCCCCATACTTATCCCTCCCTATTTTCTTTGTCTCTTCTCTTTTCCTCTCTGCCAACTCTTTTGATTTGTGACACTCTGCGCTCTAAGCCACAATTCATACATAACCACTTGCACATACCACTCCTAAAGCAGAGGTCATGATGAGGTTTGCAATATGAAAACCATGTCTGTCTTTATTCCATGCATGCTGTCATATCTGTTTTTGGTAGATAGAAATTTCTTTGATTTTGAAATTTGTCCTTTTTAATGAATACTATTACTAGATGTCAGATCTGTGTTGGATTTTCTTCTAGATTTTTTTTCTGGCTTTCCAAATTCCAAATTTTCAAAACACCAACACAACTTTGTTTTATAAATCTATGTAAGGAAAAGGGGGAATGAGGGAGGAGGTGCAGTACGGCTGGAAGAGGAAATTTTCTGTTCTATCCACAAAGTAGATGTCAAATCCCTTAACAACCATCCCTCCCAGCCAGAGGCTGGGCATCCAGGCTTCCAATACTGGTTCCCTAGCTTCTCTGACCTCTTCTCCCTTGAGAAATATGACCACCAACATTCCTAATCCAGATTTGCCCCCTCCAAAACACCCCTGGATCATTCGAAGGCCTGTCCCTTCTTAAACCATCCTTGTCTCAGAGTTCAGCTGTCCTTCTCCCCATTCCTTTATTCCTGTGCCTTCAAACAACTGTCAGGGTGTGCAGTAAGAGTGGCAGAGTAAGGATTTCTGTATAAAGCATCACCAAAATCACCAGAGGACCTTTCAAAAGCACAGTCCCAGGTTCACAGCTGTTAAGACTCGGAATGTCTGGGAAGAGTGCAGAAAATCCATATATTTGGAATGATACCAGGAAATCTGGTCAATGTGGTATATCTCTGGTCCCTCCCAAACACCTGGGCACAACATAAACATAAATGACCAGGGATCCCTGAAGACTTCTGTGTGAAGACAAGCTGGAAGACAACAGAACTGGTCGAAGGCCTGTGAATGGAGTGGGAGACCCTCAATCATTAGCTACCCTACCCCTAACGGGGGACAATAAGAATTCTTCCCTGGTGAGGCAGAAATAGAGACCCTTTGGTCTGTAGACAACAAGACAACTGAGTATAAGAATGAGGTACCTAAATCACATTGGGGTAAAGGGAACAAAAATGAACCAAGAGATTTCTCCCACTGAGCCGACACAATGATGTTTATATCCTTCAGAGAGGATGGTGTAGGATAGTTCTACAGCAACTGACTTGACCAAGGGAAAATATTTTTATTGTGACGTGGGAAATCTTCCAAAAGTCCCAGACCCCATGCCTAACATTCAAAATGAGGGCTGCCAGCCCACAAGTTGCAGCCATTCAGGTAGCTTCCCTCAGTCTTAGATATGAAGAGCCGTCTGGGGATCGCCACACTTGAGGAAACCTACAGCCATGCAAATCAGATACCAAAGTACAGGAATGAGGGGGCAGGGGCAGGAATAAGACCAAAGCAAAGAACAGGAGAAAATTTCAGGAGAATTATAAGCAAATCTTAAAGAAGATATTCCAGAAAAACACCTCAAAGAAGCAAACTGAGGTCTAGGCGAGCGAGGTGGTGGTGCTAAGGCTGCCATAGGGGTCCCTGCTGAAGCCAGGGTCTGTCTCCAATGATTGGCGAGTGTAGACAGGTGGTTCATCATGGGTGGCTTTTTCTCAAGCATTTTTTCCAGTGTCTTTGGAACCCGGGATGTGAGGATTTTCATTTGGGGACTAGATGGAACAGGAAAAACCACAATTTTGTACAGATTACAAGTTGGAGAAGTTGATACCACTATTCCTACCACCAGATTTAATGTAGAGACAGTGGCATACAAAAACCTTAAATTCCAGGCCAGCGCTGTGGCATAGCAGGTAAAGCCCCCACCTGCGGTGCCGGCATCCCATATGGGTGCTGGTTTGAGTCCTGGATGCTCTACTTCCAATCCAGCTCTCTCTCATGGCCTGGGAAAGCAGTAGAAGATGGCCCAAGTGCTTGGGTCCCTGTACCCATGTAGGAACCTGGAAGAAGCTCCTGGCTCCTGGCTTCAGATCAGCGCAACTCTAGCTGTTGCAGCCAATTGGGGAGTGAACCAGTGGATAGAAGACCTCTTTCTCTCTCTTTGCCTCTCCTTCTCTTTCTGTGTAACTCTGACTTTCAGATAAATAGATAAATAAATCTTAAAAAAAAATTAAATTCCAAGTCTGGGATTTAGGACAAACAAGTATCAGGCCATACGGGAGATGTTACTATTCAAACACAGTTGCAGTCATTTAGGTAGCGGATAGCTGTGATGGAGACAGAACTGAAATTTCCAAATCAGAGTTAGTTGCTCTGTTGGAGGAAGAAGAGCTGAGAAAGCCATTCTAGTGGTGTTTGCAAATAAGCAGGACATGGAGCAGGCCCTGACTCCCTCAGAGATGGCAGATTCACGTGGGTTGCCTGCCTTAAAGGATGGAAAGTGGCAAATATTCAAAACGTCTACAACCAAAGGCACGGGCCTTGCTGAGTCCATGGAATGCTTAGTTGAAACATTAAAAACAGGCAATAATTCATTCACAGCAGGGCCTCGGAAGCAAAGGCTACATCACCTTTCTCTCTGGAAACAGTCAAGCGTGCCTCACGCTACGAAATGTTGTACCTGTGTGATAGTTGGCACACTCTGAACTGACTACAGTGTTTGTAATAAAAATGAAAAATAAGTATTTAGTTGGAGGGGTAACTCGATTGAATCACCTGAAGTTTTGTATAATGTAAAATATCCTTTCCTTGCTTTCATGTGTTAAGATATACATTCTATTTATATGGAATTCTAATTCAGATCAGCCTTATTACATACACTCTTGTTAGGGGAAATGTC